AATTACATTCCAGATATTAAACCACTTTATGTGTAGTACTTCCATAAGTACAAATCAATTCTGTTTTCACCCAATTCCCACTTTGATTTTAGATTCATTCATTAACATTAACTCTTAATACTACTAAGATAATAGCAACCCATATAAGAGGGGAAAGAGCCATCATTTCACTCCCTATTTCAGTCATTTCAATTCTATTCACTTTTCAGCAGAGATAGTTGTATCAGAGATATCTTTCTACATATTTATTTATTTATTTTTGCTCAACCTACAGTATCACAGCTATAAAAATTCATTATTTTTATTTTGTTTTGTTTATTTATTTATTTATTTATTTGCTTTATATTTTAGTTGTTTGTTTTTATGCAGAAATTTATTTATTAGGGATCCGTATCTTGATGGTTCTTTTTCTTAGGCCATTTTGCCCATGGGAGGTAACTACACATCCTATTATATTTCCTTTACTCATTCTTTCCAATTTCATTCTTAAAAATCAGAATCACTCCCCTAAATAGTGGTATATTGATCCCCAAACCATACCTTAAAAGAAAATTTTTTAAAAAGTATATATGTATACCAATTAACAAACTCCAACTTCTTCTCCTACCATTTCATTACAAACAGACTCTATTTATGATTTCTCCGCATATTCCACTCTTTTTTCGTTTGTCAATATTTCCAATTCCAATCTTAAAAATTAACCTAACACCTCTGGATAGTGTTGGTCCCACATCATACCTTAAAAAAGGATACAGATTAACAGACTCCAAACCTCTCTCGTAACATTTCATTACCAATCAAATCTGTATATACTTTCTTGATGAACTAATCCCAAATCATACCTTAAAAGGTGTACAAATTAACTAACTCCAAATCACTTCTCCTAACATTTCATTACCAATCAAGTCTAATATGTTTTTTCCACAGTGTCCATTCCTTTTTCATAAACCATCATTTATCAAAGTTAGAAAGAGATATATTACACCAAATCAGGGCATAATTTCAGACTTCCCCCCCCATCTCTCTGTTATTTCTCTCTTCTTCCCGATTTCTTTTTGATGTCTAAAATTTTTGTATTCTTGTACTGTTACTTTCAAACTTGACCTTTTCTTTTCCCATGTAACATATGTAAGTCTTTTGAAAATTTTCAAGTTCTTTTCTCCATCTCTTGATTTCTTGTTTTTGGTCACCTTCTTTCTCTTTCTCCTTTGTATAAATGTTTGTAAGAAGTGTCCCTTTCTTGCATCTTTTTTCCTCCTCTGTCTTGTTTGATCGTTCCCCAGGTGTCTTTTATATACCTCTGATTTCTGAGTTGGGGCTTGTATAATCAGTGATCTCTTATCCCATAGCTCCCTCTCCTGGCGAACATCTTGAATTTCCGATATGGCTTGCAGCTGCAGATCAATTTTGCCATTCTCTCCAATATCTGTAATTTCCTCCCCAAGTTCTTTATATCAGTGTTTACAGGCAATTTCCACTGCTTCTTCAATCGTAGTTGTTAAGTCTTGAACTAACATAGTCAAATCCCATTCTTTGTCTTTCTCTTCCCCATAGAACTCCATCTCATTATTTTTTGTTTGTTATTCCTTAACCTTTTATTCACCCATATTAAAATATAATGTCCAAGGTCACCGGGTTTTCCAACAGTCTTACTTTAAGAATACATTCATGTATTTCTTTTTAAAGCGGTTTATTTTCTCTGTTTTTAACCCCTCTTCTCGTGACCAGTGTTCCCTCTAAGCTGAGCTAGTGTGAGCTGGCTCACAGTTTTTTAGCCTCTAGCTCACACATTTTTGTGTTGGCTCAGGAAGGATGGCTCCAGAGCAAACTAATTTATGCAGCGGCCCAATCACTCGCTCACAACTTTAATGCCAGTAGCTCACAAAGTAGGTTTTCTGCTCACAAGACTCCACAGCTTAGAGGGAACATTGCTCGTGACCATCCGATTTCTCCCCAGTCCCTTCATAGCCGCTTACTTACATACTTTAGGGGTAATTGAGGGGTTTTTCCCAAACTCTGTATTAGTTTTAACGTTGCATGAAATACACAAAAAATACACAAAAAGTTTTTTCCATTTCACTTCTCTTCTCTTCTCTTGCTGTGATGTGTTACTTACTAATAGTAGGTTAAAAAACAACGGCTGGTCACTGTTAGTGGAAACATGGCAGCCATGTTTCCTCGTTCCCCGCTCCTGCTTCAGGGCAAACCAGAAATGCCCCCGCGATTTGCAGTCTTCGGAGGTGACTGGCAGATCCCCCTGCGGCTCCCCTCCCTCCAGGAGTCCGAGCCGGGGGCCCCCATTCACACGGGAGACCCCCAAGGATCGAAGAAGATGTGAACGGCTTGGGAGTGTCCCCGAGATGCGTCCACTCACAGCGCCAACGCCCGTAGGAGATCGGTGCTCTTGATGTTAAATTTTCTTAGTCCAAGATGAGTTTCATTTGTCAACCTAGCCTGACAACATACATTCTTCTGTTAACTAGGCGTCTGCCCAGGGCCGGCTCACCTCCAGATCTAATCCACCGTCGAAGATGGCAACTTTCCTATGCAAAGGCCTGGCGGAAGAGCTCCGTCTTGCAGGCCCTGCGGGACTGCGCCAGGTCCTGCAGGGCCCGAACCTGCCCTGGGAGCTCATTCCACCAGACAGGAGCCGCCGTCGAAAAAGCCCTAGCCCTGGTTGCAGCCAGCTTGATGTCCTTGGGGCCGGGAACCACCAATAGGTGCTGCGACCCCGACCGTAGAGCTCTTGGGGGAACATATGGAGAAAGGCGGTCCCTTGGATACGTAGATTTTATTAGAATGTAAGAAAGGCCTGCTATATAGAAGGCTTCCCCCTTGTAGGTCTGATATTGTTAGCAGACAACATAATAGGTAGTTCTTAAGGGCAAAACCTTGCAATGTCTGGGTCAGATAAGATTTTAGTCTCATATCAGTAAAAAATACTTTTGTTTGGGATCTTGCTCTGGAGCCCTCCTGCCTGAGCCAAGACAAAAAGGTGCGAGCCAGAGGCTAAAAACCTGTGAGCCAGCTCACACTCACTCAGCTTGGAGGGGACACTGCTTACGACTATAGACATTTTTTTGGAAGCCTGTCCACAGACTCAGCATCTGAAGCAGAATCCAAGCGTGATGTCCAGCAGTGAAGCCTTTGGATTTCGAGGCCGGGTACCGCTCTCCGTGAATAGCAAGAGGCGGAACAAATCATTTAAAAATAAGCAACGATATGCAAAATTGCTTAATTCGTATGCAAATTTCTCGGTTGGTTTTTGTTTGTTTTTACTAAACTCTGCATTTCTTTGGGCAGGATCTCTCTCTGTCTCTCACACGCAGCCCTGAATGCGGCATCCGGCCACCGAATTAATCGCATTGCATTTTTCTCCCCCCACCTTCCAAGGTCATTCAGAGAGTCCAATCTCATCGTGGGGAAGCAGGGAAGAGGCAACAACTGGGCCTACGGTAAGAGTCCACAAGTTCTCATCATGGTGATAGGTCCAGAGGAGTCAGCCGTGTGAGTCTGTTGCTGCAAAATAGTAAAAAGCCCAGCAGCAAACTTCATTGTAGCATAAGCTGTCAAGAAATGCAGCCAGTTTGGTGTCGTGGTTAAGTGCGCGGACTCTAATCTGGGAGAACCGGGTTTGATTCCCCACTCCTCCACTTGCACCTGCTGGATGACCTTGGGCAAGCCGTAGTTCTGTCAGAGCTGTTCTTGAAAAAGAGCAGTTTCTGTCAGAGCTCTCTGAGCCCCACCTACCTCCCAGGGTGTCTGTTGTGGGGAGGGGAAGGGAAAGGAGTTTGTAAGCCCCTCTGAGATTCCTTTGGGTGGTGAAGGGCGGGGGATAAATCCAATCTCCTCCTCCTCTTCTTCTTCGTCAGATGCACCTGACGAAGAGAACTGTTAGCTGTTGTAGATTTTCCGGGTTGTGTGGCCGTGGTCTTGGCATTGTAGGGCCTGACATTTCGCCAGCAGCTGTGACTGGCATCCTCAGAGGTATCACACAGAAAGGTGGAGGACTCTCTGTGCCATGGTGAGAAGAAAAATGGTAGGCAGGTAATTTCTATCTACTCAGGAAGGTGGGGTAGGGCTGAGTCATTATTTGGTAGGAATTCCCCAGGCTGTGACATGCTAACGGAGGAGCTTTCTTGAGGAGGTTCTTTTGCATATCAATGGGCTGTTGAAATTCTAATCTTATCTGTATTATTATTAGCATTATTAGTATTATTATTGATGATGATGATGATGATGATACCCCACGAATGGTCTCAGGGCGGCTTACAAACAGGGCACCAAGTGCCAATACATAAAAACAACAATTTTACCGTATAAAGTGCTCAGTACTAATTGTCTTCAATGTGGGCAAGGTGGTGTCCTTAAGATATTACACCATCCCAGTTCAGCGGTACCGATTTGCCATCCTGCAGTAGTTTGATCTTCATAAGGGCCATCCTCGTTGTTACTAAGGATCATTGATGGTGGTGGCAGTGGCGACTCCTACTTGAAAGCCTGGCGGAAGAGCTCCGTCTCGCAGGCCCTGTGGAACTGCACAAGATCCCGCAGGGCCCTGATCTCCTCCGGGAGCTCATTCCACCAGTAAGGAGGCACCCCTGAAAAGGCCCTGTCCCTGGTTGCAGCAAGCCGGACCTCCCTGGGGCCTGGAATCATTAACCGGTGTTAATCTGTAGTGCTATTGTCAGATGTAGAGCCTTTTATTATAAGACGTAGAGCGCTGTGTTTCTCAAAAGCTTATGCTACAATGAAATTTGTTAGTCTTAAAAGTAGAGATGTAAAATTTCCGGAAATTTTGAAGCTCGGAAAAAAACCCGTTTTTTCCCGGGGAAAAGCGGAAATTTTCGGAAAAAGAAAAATTGAAAAAAATGCTACATTAGCATTTCTTTTGTCTTTTCTAGATTGAAAGTCATTCTGTTACTTTAGGAACATAAAATATGACTATGGACATTTTTACTTGGCATAAATTATCACAACTAGCATATTAAAAATATAGTGTATCCAAACAATTATTACAGAATACCCACCCACATGCAAAAACAAAACTGAAACCTTTTTATTTTCTTCTGACAATCGCACCTCCTAAAGGAAGAAATGCATCTTGTTCTTGCATTGGAGGGTTCAGTTTGTAACCTAGGACTTGCTTGTCCTCAGTGCACAGAAATTAGATCAATCTGATACCACATATATATATATATATTAGAAATGATTTGGAAAATATTTGAACACCTTGTCTTAAAATATTTTATTCATCATGTTAAAATAAAACGTTCCATAATCAATTTTTTTTTTTTCAATTTTTCCAATTTTTCGGAAAAAACCAAAAAGGCTTCAGGAAAAAAACTGAGAAAAAACGTTTTCCCCCCGAATTTTTCCGTTTTTTTTCCGGGCCTTCACATCTCTACTTAAAAGTGCTACTGGGCTTTTTACTGAGTTCTCAGCAGGCACGGTCCCCACGTCTGCATCGGGTGTCTGGGCGGAACGAGGCCCCTGGCTTCGATCCATCGCGGAGACTTGCTGGATCCACACTTGGGTGGCGGCCGCCGTTCAGCAAAAAGAAACGGGAGAGGGAGCAGGTTGCTGGAGGTTCGACAGGTGCCGTTTTGCATCCATTCAGTCTGTAAGGTGTTCCTTTGGAAAAGCCGTGTTGAATGTTTGGGAGGGGTGACAGCTCGGCAGCAGAGCCTCTGCTTGGCGTGCAGGAGGTCTCCAGTTCAGTTCCCAGCATCTCCAAGTTGAAAAGGACCAGGAAGCAGGAGACATGAAAGACCTGGACATGAGACCCTGGAGAGCTGCTGCCGGTCTGAGTAGACTGTTGCGCAGTGCGTTTGAAGCAACTTTCCAGCACCACCAGCCACCAGGACTTTTCCAGCCACTCCAGCACTCACCAGCATTCACTGCAGAGAAGGTTCTGTATAGCACACCAGGACAGTCCTGTGGTAAACTATATACAGATTTCTTTACAATATATATACTCCACTGACAAACTGCTCCGCCAAACACCATATCCAAAGAGAAGAAGATACAGAGCATGTCCTTGTCCACTTTTATACATAGAGTGTCCAATCACCTTCGTGCTGAGTCATGATGACTGGCCACATTCCTTAGCTGGTCTGAACCGGTCAGAACTTGTTATCAGCAGCTTGCCTGCTGTCACTTAGATCCTTATGATCTGACTGCTGGATATTAACAACCAACATAGGCAAGACTGACCTAGATGGACTGTAAGGGTCTGAGTCAGCAGAAGGCAGCTTCATAGGTTCCGATTCAGTACACAGCAGCTTCACGTGAGGGGCCGTGGCTGAGTGGTGGAGCAACTGCTTGGCATGCAGAAGGTCCCAGGTTCAGTCCCCAGCATCTCTGGTGATGGGGAAGACCCTCCGCCTGAGACCCTGGAGAGCCGCTGCCAGTCAGAGTAGACAATACTGACCTTGATGGACCAAGGGTCTGATTCAGTATAAGACAGCTTCATGTATTCATCGAAGAGCCCTTGTTTTGCACGCAGAAGGTCCCAGGTCAGTCCCTGGCAGCATCTCCAGTTGAAAAGGACCAGGCGGTAGGTGATGGGGAAGACCTCTGCCTGAGACCCTGGAGAGCCGCTGCCAGTCAGAGTAGACAATACTGACCTTGATGGACCAAGGGTCTGATTCAGTATAAGACAGCTTCATGTATTCATCGAAGAGCCCTTGTTTTGCACGCAGAAGGTCCCAGGTCAGTCCCTGGCAGCATCTCCAGTTGAAAAGGACCAGGCGGTAGGTGATGGGGAAGACCTCTGCCTGAGACCCTGGAGAGCCGCTGCCAGTCAGAGTAGACAATACTGACCTTGATGGACCAAGGGTCTGATTCAGTATAAGACAGCTTCATGTATTCATCGAAGAGCCCTTGTTTTGCACGCAGAAGGTCCCAGGTCAGTCCCTGGCAGCATCTCCAGTTGAAAAGGACCAGGCGGTAGGTGATGGGAAAGGCCTCTGCCTGAGGTCCTGGGCTGCCACTGCCAGTCTGAGTAGAGAATATTGACCTAGACTGACCAGTGGCGTGATTCAGTAGAAGACAGCTTTGTGTGTTCATTGTGATGAACACCTGGAAACAGGCACACACGATCGGCACGAAGAGGTAAGAAGCTCCTTTGCGTTTGTTCAGATCTTAGATTTCCAGAGACATTTGGAATGGAACGTAGCGCAAACCCGGGACCAGAAAGCATTCCCTCCTCACTTCCTGCCGGAGCAAACGCCCCAAAATAATCCCGCGTTGTGTGAGACAGGAGACGTGCCTGCAGACGAATTGCAGCCGTGTGCGAAGGCCGGAGGGGATCTGCCGTCGTCCTAACCGGGCCCGCGTCTGCTTTGCGCTTTGCAGGGTATCATGGCGTCCGTTCCGAGGGGGAGCAGAGCTTGTTCCACAGGACGATGGAGAGCCTGAGGAGGGAGGTGGAGCGCAGGGACTACTATGGCGGGACGGTCCTCTTTCACAGCCTCAGCGGCGGGACCGGAGCAGGTGAGTCCAGCCCGGGAGTCAGTGGACGGTACTTCTTCTTCTTCAGCCAGAGCGCCCCCCCCTCTCTCTCGAGGGCTTCCTCCTAGCCGTGGTCACCAACGCTCCCTCTAAGCTGTGTGGAGCTCATTCCACCAGTAAGGAGGCACCCCTGAAAAGGCCCTGTCCCTGGTTGCAGCAAGCCGGACCTCCCTGGGGCCTGGAATCATTAACCGGTGTTAATCTGTAGTGCTATTGTCAGATGTAGAGCCTTTTATTATATGACGTAGAGAGCTGTGTTTCTCAAAAGCTTATGCTACAATGAAGTTTGTTAGTCTTAAAAGTGCTACTGGGCTTTTTACTGAGTTCTCAGCGGGCACGGTCCTCCCGTCTGCATCGGGTGTCTGGGCAGAATGAGGCCCCCGGCTTCGATCCATTGCGGAGACTCGCTGGATCCACACTTGGATGGTGGCCGCCGTTCCGCAAAAAGAAACGGGAGAGTGAGCAGGTTGCTAGAGGTTCGACTGGTGCCATTTTGCATCCATTCAGTCAGTAAGGTGTTCCTTTGGAAAAGCCGTGTTGAATGTTTGGGAGGGGTTACAGCACAGCAGCAGAGCCTCTGCTTGGCGTACAGAAGGTCTCGAGTTCAGTTCCCAGCATCTCCGAGTTGAAAAGGACCAGGAAGTAGGAAACGGGAAAGACCTCAACCTGAGACCCTGGAGAGCTGCCACCAGTCTGAGTAGACAAGACTGGATGGACCGTACGGGTCTGAGTCAGCAGAAGGCAGCTTCATAGGTGTTAGCAGGCCTACTGTATTCAGTAGTCAAGGTTAGGTCTGGGAACAGGGTGGGTGGGGGAGAATGTGAGCCCCCCCACTCCCCCCTGCACCAGAGCATGCAATTCACACTTTATCTCGCAATGGTTTTAGTGTTTAAAGGTAAAGGGTTTCCCTTGCTCGAAAGCCAGTCGAGTCCGACTCTAGGGTTGTGGTGCTCATCTCCATTTCCAAGCCAAAGAGCCAGCGCTGTCTGAAGACATTTCCGTGGTCATGTGGCCGGCATGACTAGACACTGAGGCGCACGGAACGCTGTTACCTTCCCACCGAAGCGGTACCTATTTATCTACTTGCAATTTCTTGCTTTCGAACTGCTAGGTTGGCAGGAGCTGGAACTAGAGATGGGAGCTCACTCCGTCATGCGGCACACTCGGGTCTCGAACTGCTGAACTACCGACCTTCCACAGCCTGCAGTTCAGCGTCTTAACCACTCGAGCCACCACAGCTTTAGTGTTTAGACCTGTGTATTTTTGCAAATATTTATTTTTTCCATAGGCTGTAGTGAAATGTAGTATATACTAGAATTTGGGCTGTGGTTAAGTGGCGGAGCCTCTCCTTGGCACGCAGAAGGTCCCCGGGGTTCAGTCCCCGGCATCTCTAGTTAGAAGGACCTGGCAGTCGGTGATGTGAAAGTCCTCTGCCTGAGAGGTCCCTGGAGAGCTGCTGCCCGTCTGAGTGGACAATACTGACCTTGATAGACTGAGGGTCTGATTCAGTAAGAGGCAGTTCCATGTGTTCGTGGCTTATGCTGTCTGGGAGGAGCTTGTGGCTCAGGGGTAGAGCATCCAGAAGATCCCCGGTTCAATCCCCGGCAGCATCTCCAGTTAGTCAGTCGCCGGGTGATGTGAAAGACCCCTGCCTGAGAGGTCCCTAGAGAGCTGCTGCCAGTCAGAGTAGACAGTGGTAACCTTGACAGGCCAAGGCTCCGATTCAGTACACAGCAGCTTCACGTGAGGGGCCGTGGCACAGTGGCAGAGCCTCTGCTTGGCATGCAGAAGGTCCCAGGTTCAGTCCCCAGCATCTCTGGTTAAAAAAGGGCCGGGCAGTAGATGATGGGAAAGACCCTCTGCCTGAGACCCCGGAGAGTGACTGCCAGTCTGAGTAGACAATACTGACCTCGATGGACCAAAGGTCTGATTCAGTGTAAGAGAGCTTCATGTATTCGTTAAAGAGCCTTTGTTTTGCACGCAGAAGGCCCCAGGTTCAATCCCCGGCAGCATCTCCAGTGAAAAGGACCAGGCAGGAGGTGATGGGAAAGACCCTCTGCCTGAGACCCCGGAGAGCCGCTGCCAGTCTGAGTAGACAACATTGATCCTTAGGGACCAATGGCCTGACTCAGTAGAAGGCAGTTTAATGCGTGTTCATGTCTTATGCTTTGTGGGAGGGGCTGTGGCTCAGTGGCAGAGCATCCGCTTGGCATGCAGAAGGTCCCAGGTTCAATCCCCGGCATCTCCAGGTAAAAGGACCAGGCAGTAGGTGATGGGAAAGAATTCTGCCTGAGACCCTGGAGAGCTATAAAGAGGGGCTGTGGCTCAGTGGCAGAGCATCCGATTGGCATGCAGAAGGTCGCAGGTTCAATCCCCGGCATCTCCAGGTAAAAGGACCAGGCAGGAGGTGATGGGAAAGACCTCCGCCTGAGACCCTGGAGAGCTGTAAAGAGGAGATGTGGCTCAGGGGCATAGCATCTGCTCGGCATGCAGGAGGTCTCAGCTTCAATCTCCGGGATCTCCAGTTGTAAAGGACCAGGCAGGAGGTGATGGGAAAGGCCTCTGCCTGAGGTCCTGGGGTGCCACTGCCAGTCTGAGTAGAGAATATTGACCTAGACGGACCAGTGGCGTGATTCAGTAGAAGACAGCTTTGTGTCTTCATTGTGATGAGCACATGGAAACAGGCACACACGATCGGGACGAAGAGGTAAGAAGCTCCTTTGCGCTTGTTCAAATCTTAGATTTTCAGAGGCATTCGGAATGGAGTGTCGTGCAAACTCGGGACCAGAAAGCATTCCCTCCTCACTTCCTGCCAGAGCAAACGCCACAAAATAATTCCGTGTTGTGTGAAACAGAAGACATGCCTGCAGACAAGTTGCAGCTGCGTGCGAAGGCTGGCGGGGATCTGCCGTTGTCCTAACCGGGCCCGCGTCTGCTTTGCGCTTTGCAGGGTATCATGGCGTCCGTTCCGAGGGGGAGCAGAGCTTGTTCCACAGGACGATGGAGAGCCTGAGGAGGGAGGTGGAGCGCAGGGACTACTATGGCGGGGCGGTCCTCTTTCCCAGCAGCGGCGGGACCGGAGCAGGTGAGTCCTGCCCCGGAGTCAGGGGACTGTACGTCTTCTTCTTCAGCCAGAGCGCCCCCCCCCCCTCTCTCGAGGGCTTCCTCCTAGCAGTTGTCACCAATGCTCCCTCTAGCTGCAGGGGGCGCTCACATCTGGGAAGCAGCACTCGGTTGCAGCAACACGGCGCACTCAGTGTCTGCCCGGGGGCTGGAACCCCCCCCCCCGTTCCAGCAGCTGCTGCCATTCACAGGAGCGAACGCCTCACACCCCACTCGGAGCTCTTTTCGTAGTGCCGTCTGTCATGGGGCGGGCAGCAGAGGATCAAATCAGACTGATAAGTTTGTCGTGGGCTTTTCTCCTGTAGGCTTCACTTCCCGCTTGTGCGAAGCCATCCGGGACGAGTACCCCCCAGGACACATCCTGGCTGTCTCGGTAGCGCCTCACCAAGCCGGCGAGAGTCCTCTCCAGCACTACAATGCGTTGCTCTGCCTTTCCTGGCTCCAGAGGTGAATAAAGAGAGGGTGATTCTTCTAACAGCCAACGGTTTGGGGAGCCGGGGTGGTAGAGTGGCTCGTGTTTCTGGACTGAGGTCCAAGAGACCCAGATTAAAATCCTCCCCTCAGCCCCAGAGCTGACTGGGCGCACTTGGGCCAGTTATCCTCTTGCAAATGGTACGACCTCATTTGGAGTACTGTGTGCAGTTCTGGTCACCACACCTCAAAAAGGATATTATAGCATTGGGAAAAGTGCAGAGAAGGGCAACTAGGACGATAAAAGGGTTGGAACACTTTCCCTTTGAAGAAAGGTTAAAGCGATTCGGGCTCTTTAGCTTGGAGAAACAACGGCTGAGGGGTGACGTGATCGAGGTTTACAAGATTATGCCTGGGATAGAGCAGGTCGAGAAAGAGGTACTTTTCTCCCTTTCTCACAATACAAGAACTCGTGGGCACTCCATGAAATTGCTGAGTGGTCGGGTTGGAACGGATAAAAGGGAATCTTTTTTCACCCAAAGAGTGATGAACACATGGAATTCACGGCCACAGGAGGTGGTGGCAGCTACAAGCATGGACGGCTTCAAGAGGGAACTGCATAAAGATATGGAGCAGAGGTCCATCAGTGGCTCTTAGCCACAAGTTATAGATAGGAAGTCTCAGTCTACGGCCAGGGATGCTCTGTATTCTTGGTGCTTTGGGGGGGGGGCAACAGTGGGAGGGCTTCTGGTGTCCTGGCCCCACTGCTGGACCTCCTGAGGGCACCTGGTGTTTTTGGCCACTGTGTGACAAGAGTGTTGGGCTGGATGGGCCATTGGCCTGATCAAACACTGGCTTCCCTTATGTTTTTATGGATAAACATATGGAGCAGAGGTCCATCCGTGGCTACTAGCCACAAGGCATAGATAGGAACTCTCAGTCTGGGGCAAGGGATGCTCTGCATTCTTGGTGCTGGGGGGGGGGCAACAGTGGGAGGGCTTCTGGTGTCCTGGCCCCACTGCTGGACCTCCTGAGGGCACCTGGTGTTTTTGGCCACTGTGTGACAAGAGTGTTGGGCTGGATGGGCCATTGGCCTGATCCAGCATTGGCTTCTCTTATGTTCTTATGCTGCCTAAGCTACCTCACAGGGTTGTTGTGAAGGTGATAATCTTGTGCTGTTCAGGGAAGGGCCATTTTGGAGGTGGCCCTGCAGTTATGTTCAACAGGAAGCCCCCTATTTCCTTCCTCTCCCTCCAGGACCTGATCGTATAGCTTTAGGCACCAGCTCCCTCCCCCCCTTGGGGGCTTTTTAAGTGAACATTTAAGCTATTTTTTGCTGTGGATTAGTGTCTTGATTTCGTCTTTGTTAATTATTTGGCAAGCTGCAGCCAAAGGCCTCGTAGAGAGAAGTCAAGCTGCTCCACCCATAATGCAGTGGGCTGTGTTTGCACCTGCCCAGGTATGCAGACGGCATCCTCCTGTTCCATAACGATGAGCTGCTGAAGCGCGCGGCATCCCTGCAGGAGAAGGTCGCCGCCGAAGGCGAGCAGCAGGTCTCCCTCTCCGCCATGAACGCATACGTCGCTTCTTGCCTCGCGGGGCTTCTCTACCCACTCCGGATTTTCACAGCACAAAGGTGAGCCCGAGCCGGATCCTGGAAAACGAGTCCTTCTGTCACACCTCTGTCATTAATAGCCGTTTTCAAGAGCAGACCGAGAGAACAGAAGTACAGTATTGGTGCTCAGTTTTGGGCACGACAGTTTAAGAGGGATAGAGACAAGCCGGAACGCGTCCAGAGGAGGGCGAAGAAGATGATGAGGGGTCTGGAGCAATGCTCCCTGTAAGCTGTGGAGTCTTGTGAGCAAAAATTCTACTCTGTGAGCTCCTGGCAATAAAGGTGTGAGCGAGCGATTGGGCTGCTGCATGAATTACTTTGCTCTGGAGCCCTCCTTCCTGGGCAGAGACAAAAATCTGTGAGCCGGAAGCTAAAAAACTGTGAGCTGGCTCACTCTGACTCAGCTTAGAGGGAACACTGGTCTTGAGATGCTCTCCCACTGAGCGATGGTCCTTCCAAAAAATGTAAGACATGAATCCAAGTCTTACGAGGAAAGGCTGAAGGAGCTGGGTATGTTTAGCCCGGGGTAGAGACGATGGAGAGGGGCTATGAGAACCATCCTCAAGTACTTGAAGGGCTGCCATCTAGAGGAGGGGGCGGAGTTGTTTTCTGTTGCCTCAGAAGGTCAGACCAGAACCAATGGGTTGAAATTAAATCAGAAGCGTTTTCGGCTAAACATTGGGAAGAACTGCCTGACAGTTAGGGCGGCTGCTCAGTGGAACAGGCTTCCTCGGGAGGTGGTGGGCTCTCCTTCTCTGGAGGTTTTCAAACAGGCTAGATGACCACCTGACAGCCATGCGGATTCTGTGAACTTGGGCGGATCATGAGAGGGAGGGCAGGAAGGGTTGCAGCCTCAGTGCTTAGTTCTCGTGGCCCTTTCTTACACGCCCAGGGAAATGCCAATTGCCACGTTGGGGGTCAGGAAGCAATCCTGAGGTTTTTTTGTCATCTTCTGGGCATGGACCAGCGGTCACTGCGGGTGTGGAGGTATTTGTGAATTTCCTGCATTGTGCAGGGGGTTGGACTAGATGACCCTGGAGGTCATAAGAGCTAAGAAAGTAGTCCAGTACTGGATAAGGCCAAGGGCCCATCCAGTCCAACACTCTGTCTCACACAGTGGCCAGAAGTACCATCAGGAGGTCCAGCGGTGGGGCGAGGGCATTAGAGGTCCTCCCACTGTTGCCCCTCCCCAAGCACCAAGAAGACAGAGCATCACTTGCCCCAGAGCCCCTATCTATACCTTGTGGCTAATAGCCACCGATGGACGTCTGGGTGACTCAGAACTGCGCCTTTTGGTCATGTGATGTCTTGTCCTGTGTGTTCCGTGGGTCCCATGGTGCCACCTTGGGGGTTCAATTTGGGGCCCAGGGAGGAGGAAAATTGAGCACTGGCGGTAGAAGGCTCTGTGCTTACTGGCACTTCCATGATTTTACACGTTGTGATTTTTACCTGTTTAAATATTCTGCTTTAACGACTCCGTTCTTTTAAACACACGTGTGTCTATCTATACCTTTTCTGTGAGCCGCCCTGAGCCTCTTTTTTGTCTCTTTTGCACCCCTGTTGCTTTTGCAGTGGGATTAGCCTGGGCACGGAACCGTGGGAGCTCCTGAGAGCCACCTGCCCCGTGCCGGCCCTGAAGTTCCTGCACACAGCTCAAGCCAGCACAAGGTAAGAAAACCAGACCCGCGAGAACCTCGGTACTCCTTCGGCCTCTGGGTTCTGGCTGGCAGAGCGATCCCAGCGTCTCCTGAACTCGAGTCATTGGCAGCATTCAGATGTGACGTCAAACTCAGGTTTGGGCAGTGAACAGTAATGACAGCCAGCACGGTGTTGCGGTTAGAGTGCTGGCCTACGGTCTGGAAAACCCAGGTTCAAATCCACCCTTCTGCCACAGAAGCTCGCTGGGTGACCTCAGGCCAGTCACACGCTCAGCCTAACTTACCTCACAAGGTTGTCATGAGGATACACTGGAGGGGAGGAGGGTGACGTAAGCCCTTTTTGGATCCCCGTCAGGAATCAATTTGGGATAGAAATGAAGTAAATACAATTCAGTCTGGCTGGTCTTCCAGACGGAGGTAGCAAATCCTGGTTTGTGGATAAGCTCCAGTTTGTCTGGTCTCATAAGAGAAGCCAATGTTGGATCAGGCCAATGGCCCCTCCGGCCCAACACTCTGTGTCACACAGTGGCCAGAAATACCAGGGGCCGTCAGGAGGTCCAGCAGTGGGGCCAGGACACTAGAAGTCCCCCCCACTGTTGCCCCCCCCAGCACCAAGAAGACAGAGCATCCCTTGCCCCAGACCGAGAGTCCCTATCTATACCTTGTGGCTAATAGCCACTGATGGACCTCTGCTCCATATGCTTATCTAATTCCCTTTTGAAGCCGTCCATGCTTGTAGCTGCCACCACTTCCATTCCATGCGTTAATCACTCTTTGGGTGAAGAAGGACTTCCTTTTATCCGTTCTAACCCGACCGCTCAGCAATTTCATGGAGTGCCCATGAGTTCTTGTATTGTGAGAAAGGGAGAAAAGTACCTCTTTCTCTACCTGCTCTTTCCCATGCATAATCTTATCAACCTCAATCATGTCACCTCTCAGTTGTCGTTTCTCCAAGCTAAAGAGCCCCCAAGCATCTCCTCCCAGCAAGGAAAATGTTGTCCCTTTGCTGAGGCCGTCCCTCTGGCCAGGCAAAAGCCGGGTTGTTCAAGAAAGAGGGGGGTTTCCCCATTCAGGCAGCGCAACAAACCACAGATAGCACAAGGTGTGGTTAATAAGCCAGCTACAAACCCCAGATCTTTCCCACAGAGTAGCCGACGAGTCGGTCTGCAGTAGGACACTTAAAATCGAGTCCAGGAGCAGCTTTGAGACCAACAAGGCTTATGAGGTTTTCCAGTATCTGACGCTTTGACTCTTGAAAGTTCAGACCCCGAAAAACCTTGCTGCTGCTCTCTAAGGTGCTCCTGGCCTCGATTCAAACCCAGATTGGAAATCCTGGTTTGGTGCTTCGACAACAAACTGTAGTTGATTTGACGGTCTGCATTCAGACCTCCTTGGAATCGGCCATGGGGTTTTCTTGGCAAAAATACTGGAGTGGGTTGCCATTCCCTTCTCCAGTGCAAAGTAATAGAGGAAAACAATAGAATGGGAAGGACTAGAGTTCTCTTCCAGAAAATTGGAGAAATCAAGGGAGCGTTCCATGCAAAGCTGGCCATGATAAAGGACAAAAACGGTAGGGACCTAACAGAAGCAGAAGAGATTAGGAAAATCTGGCAAGAATACACAGAAGAACTATACAAGAAAGACCTCGATGTCCTGACATCCCCCTGCCAACAAAAGTCCACATGGTCAAAGCAATGGTATTCCCAGTAGTCATGTATGGCTGCGAGAGTTGGACTATAAGGCCGAGCGCCGAAGAATAGATTCTTTTGAGCTATGGTGCTGGAGAAGACTCTTGAGCATCCCTTGGACTGCAAGAAGATCAAATCAGTCAATCCTAAAAGAAATCAAGCCCGACTGTTCCCTTGAAGGCCAGATAATGAAACTGAAGCTCAAATACTTTGGCCACCCAATGAGAAGGGAGCACTCACTGGAGAAGAAGACCCTGATGCTGGGAAAGATTGAAGGTCAAAGAAGACCAAGACAGCAAAGGATGAGATGGTCAGACAGTGTAATAGATGCAACAAACATGAAATTGAGCAAACTCCGGAGCACGACGGAAGACGGGAGGGCCTGGCGTGATCTGGTCCATGGGGTCGCGGAGAGTCGGACTTGACTGTGCGACTGAACAACAACAAAATTCAGACCTCACAGACAGAATCCTAGAATTACAGAGATGGAAGGGTCCACCCAGGCCATCTAGTAGTCCATCCCCCTGCTCAATGCAGGATCATCCCTGACGAGTGTTCATCCAGCCGCTGCTTGAAGACTGCCAGTCAGAGGGAGCTCACCACCTCCCCAGGGAGCCGATTCCACTGCCGCACGACTCTTCCTGTAAAAAAAGGTTTTCCTAATTTCCAGCCGGCACCTCCCCGCCCTCAATTTAAACCCATTATATTGTGAGTCCTCTCCTCCGCTGCCCACAGGAACAGCTCCCCGCCCTCCTCTAAGGGACAGACCTTCAAAGACTTAAAGAGAGCCCTCCTGTCCCCCATCCGCCTCCTCTTCTCCAGACTGAATGTTCCCAAGAAGTCCCTCAGCCTTTCCTCCGAGGGCCTGATCAAACTTGGCTGAAATATCCGAATGGAGCCGTTGTCTGTCTCACTACCTCCCTCTGCAGGCCACTGCCAGTCAGACCTCCGTCATCCTCTTAAAGATGATTATTATTTACTTCTTTGACACCCCATTTCCCCCTCCAGTGGTGACCCCAAGTAGCTTACATCATTATCCTGCTCTTCTCCATTTTAACCTCACAACAGCCCTATGAGGTAGGGTAGGCTGAGAGTGTGTGACTGGTCCACGGTCACCCAGCAAGGTTCTGTGGCAGGAGTAGGGATTCGAATCAAGCTCTTCCAGATCCTACCTGGTCTGACACTCTAACCACAACACCATGCTGGCTGTACCATGCCAAAGAAATTTAGCTCTGGCACAATTATTGTGAAACTGTTACATTCAGTCTCAGGGTGGCTTACCATCTACCCTGTGAGGTAGGTGGGGCTGAGGGGGCTTTCTCAAGTACTGCCCTTGAGAGAAGAGCTCTGAGAGAACTTGTGACTCACCCAAGGTCATCCAGCAGCTGCCTGTGGAGGAGTGGGGAATCAGACCTGGTTCTCCCAGATTAGAGTCCGCTCTCCTAACCACTACACCGAACTGGCTCTCGGAGCTAAGGTTTGCTGCCCATGCGTGGTTTGTGCTGTGTGAAAGAGTGGCGAGCCTGTGCCAAGGACTTTAATGGGGGGAGCTGGGGGTAGGTCAGATGTGAGTCGGTGGCTCGGGGTGAGCTGGGGCTTTTCCCCCTGAGACTCTGGAGGACCTGATGTTGCAGGGTACAGTGGGCTGGGCTCAAGGAAGATGAAGGGAAAGCCGTCAGGCCATAGATGTGCGATGTGGCTGTGAAGAAAGCGAAGGCAGTCTTAGAATGCATTAGGAGACTCTAGAGAGAAGGAGTTTAAACTTTAAACCCCTTCTCTTTTCGCTTTCTCCGCAAGCCGGCTGGGAGCTGGGGGCGGGGCTTGCCGCCACCGCCATTTGTGCGTGCTCCTGGGCTGCCGTAGCGCTGCTCCGGCTCGCTCCGGCCCCAAATGACCCCTGGATGAGAGACCACCAAGGAAGACCAAGGTTGCTATGCAGAGGCAGGCAATGGCAAAACACATCTAACCTGACGCGGATAGTCCAGGCTAGCCTGATCTTGTCAGACCCCGGACGCTAAGCAGGGTTGTTGTTGGATGGATGACCACCAAGGAAGCACAGAGGCAGGCAATGGCAAACCTGTTCCTCTCTTGCCTCGGCAACCCAGGGGGCTGCAACTTGATGGCATTTTCTACCATCACTTGGCCCTGACTTGAATAACCCAGGCTATATGGCCGGGGGCCTGCGTACCTGAGTACCGGGGGCCTGCGTGCCTTTCCCCACATGTTCCCCAGAGAGCACTGGGGTCGGGGATCAAAACTGCCTGACTCTACCTGGTCCAAAAGACACCAGATTGGCCTCGACCAGGAACAGGGCCTTTTCAGTGGCGGCTCCACTCTGATGGAGGGACATCAGGGCCCTGCGGTGCCTTCTACAGTTCCGCAGGGCCTGTAAAACGGAGCTCTCCCACCGGGCTTTCGATTAGGAGCCGCTACTGATGAACGAGTTATAAAAAACTGATTATCACGACCCACATGTTACCAGCATTAAGAACGACCCAGATCTACCTCATCTTGCACTGACACTTTGTTGTTGCATTTTATTGTTTTAGACTGTTTTATTTGTTTTAATTCTGGCACATGTGCCCCGTTGTTAGCCACCCTGAGCCTTCGGGGAGGGTGGAATATAAATCCAAAAATAAATAAATAAACAACTGAGGATACTGGTCTAGTTATACCGGACCACCTCACGACGATGGCCATCTGCGCTTAATCTGCACGTTGTACATCATTGCTTGGAATTGTCTGTTGGATTTTATCTGTGTTTTATTGTCGTTTTAACCCACTGTACGCCCCCTTGAGCCTCCTGTCAGGCAAGGTGGGATAGCCATCGAAATAAATCTTAGAAGCCAAGTATGGCCAGCCCGGGTTGGTGCTTGGATGGGAGACGGCCAAAGAAGTCCAGGGTCACGGTGCAGAGGAAAGGCAGTGGCAAAGCACCTCCGCCGTACCTTTGTGACGGCTGAGCTTTGTGTTTCATTCCCCAGGGGAACCGTCTTCTGGGACAGCCTGGCGTCTTCCGTGACACAGTCGACTCCTCGCGAGTCTCCCTCGGGGCACCCCGTATCCTTTCGTTGCAGCCAACACTTCGCCTAATTCCGAACACTTGCTAATTCTGAAGAAGACAGACTAGGTGGGATTGCTAATTTCTGAAGAGGACAGAGTCAGGATTCAAAAGGATCTAGATAGGCTGGAGCAGGGGGTGGAGACAAATAAAATGAATATTCAGTAGAGAGAAGTGCAAAGTCCTACAGTTAGGTACAAAAAACCAAAGGCACAGATGTAGAATGGGAGGGACTTGGCTTGACAGCAGCTCATGTGAAAGGGATCTGGTTGATCACAAGCCAAACATGAGCCTGCAGTGCGATGTGGCTGCGAAGAAAGCGAATGCAATCTTCGGATGCATTAACAGAAGCATTGTGTCCAGATCAGGGGAGGTGGTGGTTCCGCTCTATTATGCTATGGTCAGGCCTCACCTGGAGTCCTGTGTCCAGTTTTGAGCACCACATTTGAGGAAGGATGTTGACAAGCTCAAGTGTGTCCAGAAGACGGCAACCAGGATGGTGAGAGAGTTGGAATCCAAGTCTTACGAGGATAGGCTGAAAGAGTTGGGTCTGTTTAGCCTGGGAAAGAGAAGGCTTAGAGGGGACATGATTGCAGTCTTCAAGTATCTGAAGGCTTGTCATGTAGAAGAGGGAGCAGATCTATTGTTTCTTGCTCCGGATTGCAAGACTAGATCTAATGGGTGGAAACAACAAGGGAGCCGATATCGGCTAAATATCAGGAGAAACTTCCTAACAGTTAGAGTGGTTGAGCAGTGGAACAGACTGCCTCAGGAGGTGGGGAATGCTCCTTCGCTGGACGCTTTCAAGCGGAGGCTGGACGACCATCTTTCGGGTATGTTGTAGGTATGTAGGGCTGTCTTTCGGCAGAGTGCAGGGGGTTGGACTAGATGACCTGCAAGGTCCCTTCCAACTCTATGATTCTGTGATTCTTCTGAGGGTAGAGTCAATCAGAAAGTTGGGCTGTGTGACTCAGGATTTTTCACTCTGCAGAGTCAGGGAGAGTTTGGAGGCCGCCCTCCCCCGGTATTGCAAGCTTGGGTGCGAGGATGACGCTTGATGCTCGGGCAAAGCCTTGTGTTCAAGCTGAGTTCGTGTGAGCTAGCTAGCTCTCAGTTTTTTTAGCCTCCGGCTCACGCATTTTTGTCTCCTTGCTTAGCTTCTGAGATCTGATGAGATTGGGCTACCCTGGCCCTGGGTGAGACAAACAGTGGTGGTTTGCCCATTGCCTGCCTCTGCGTAGCAACCCTGGGCTTCCTTGGAGGTCTCCCATCCAAGTACTAATTGGGGCCGACCCTGCTTAGCTCCCGAGACTGGGACGGCCTGGGCCATGCGGGTCAGGGCTGGCCAGTAAATACCACATAAAAACCCCACGCGGGTAGTCTGTGAATCAGACGGAGAGGCTGACCTTCCCTTCGACCCCACTTCTTCAAGAATTCCTACCCATCTGTTGATGGACCAAGGGTCAGGTCCAGTATACGGCACCGGAGGAGCGGCTGAGGCGCAGAGGCAGTGCCTCTGTGTGGAATGTGCGGAAGGTCTCAGGTTCAATCCCCGGCATCTCCGTTTAAAAGGACCAGGCAGCAGGTGATGTGAAAGACCTTTCTCTGCCTGAGGCCCTGGAGAGCAGCTGCCAGTCTGAGTAGACAAGACTGACCTTGATGATCTGATTCAGCATCATGTGTTCATGTGATGTTCCGAAGTACTCTGTGTCTAATCGTGTTAACAATAAATGTCCAGAAGAGAGAAAATCTGAGCTGGTAGCTAAAGAGTAGACAATGCCTCGGCCGGTCCCCTTGAAGTTCCCCTTTATCTTCTGCACCCCCAGCAACTCTAGCTGAGGGCATTTCAGGGACAAGGCCCAGCGCTTTGGTCCTTAACCACTTTGCCAACAGCACTGCAGCTCAGGGCTCTTGGCCGTGGCCCGCGGCCCCCAGGAGGACTGTTTCCTCGTCAGCTGCATGCCCGTGCTGAAGAAGTTGAAGCGGGCTTACCGCTGCGTGGCCTGGAATCCCTTCCCCACCACTTACTGGACAGGTTAGTGGAGCGATCCTGGGTTCTCGACCCTCTGCAGGACCGTGTCCAAGGCAGGACAAACTGTCCCTCTGACAGCAATGTGAACTTGGGCAGATCACGAGAAGGGAGGGCAGGAAGGGTTGCCTCAGTGCTTAGTTTTCGTGGCCCTTTCTTACACGCCAGGGAAATAGTGATTGTCACTTTGGGGTCCAGGGAGCCATTTTTCTCCAGGACAGTTTGGCCCCGGGGATCCTGGAGGGGTTTTTCTGCCATCTTCTGGGTGTGGAAAAGGGGTCACGGTGGGTGTGGAGGGGGAAGGTATTTGTGAATTCCCTGCATTGTGCAGGGGGTTGGACTAGATGACCCTGGGAAAGAGAAAACTTAGAAGGGGGACCTGATTGCAGTCTTAAGTATTTGAAGGGCTGTCATGTAGGAGATGGAGCAGATGTGTTCTCTCTTGCTCCGGACTGCAAGGCTAGATCTAACGGGTGGAAATGACAAGGGAGTCGATACTGGCTAAATATCAGGAGGAACTTCCTAACGGTAAGAGCGATTAAGCAGTAGAACGGACTGCCTTGGGAGGTGGTGGATGCTCCTTCGCTGGACGTTTACAAGTGGAGGCTGGACGGCCATCTTTTAGGTATGTTGTAGGCAGGGGGTTTTTGGGAGAAAAAGCCCAGCAAGAACTCATTAGCATAATAGGCCACACCCAACAGCGGAAATTCATTTGCTTATTAGGACATACCCCTGACAGCACAGCTCATTAGCATATTAGGCCATACACCCCATGTTCGCAGAAGTGTGGTCATCCAGCCACACCCACCTTTTGCTTCTTGTTCTGTTTACCTTGTTTGTTGTCCAATCCCAGGGCCTTTTTTTGCATCAGGAACACCTTTGCATGTTAGGCCACACACCCCTAATGTAGCCAATCCTAATGAGTTTCTGCTGTTGGGTGTGGTTTATTATGCTAATGAGTTCCTGCTGGGCGTGGCCAGCTTGGGAGCCAGCCGGAACTCCGTTCCTGTGCGTTCCTGCCCCAAAATAGCCCTGGTTGTAGATATGTAGAGCTGTCTTTCGGCTGTGCTCCTGCAGAGTGCAGGGGGTTGGATTAAATGACCTGCAAGGTCCCTTCCAACTCTCACATTCTACGAGTCTGTGACCCTGGAGGTCCCTTCCAACTCTGATTCTGAGTACCCTGTGCTGCCTGTCCTGCTTTCGCTGCATGCAGAGTTCATAACTATTCCCCTCTTTGCTCTTGGGTATCCTTTTTCAACATCTGCTTTCGGCCTCTCTGTACGGCCTTTTCCCTACGCTGAACACACCCTCTTCCGTTTCTCCATTTCGTACAGCACCCCTTCAGATCGCTTCGATATCGGGGCCGTTTGTCAGCATCCCCCCTGAATTTGTCTTGCCCAGAATGACTATTTTAATAAAAGACGTAGCTCTGAGTCTAGCAGAACCTTGGAGACCAACAAGATCTTGGGGGATGGAAGTTTTGGAGGGTCAAGACGAGATTGGATTTATACCGTGCCCTTCACTCGGGAGTCTCAGAGCGGCTTACAAACTCCTCTCCCTTCCCCACAACAGATACCCTGTGAGGTAGGCAGGGCTGAGAGAGCTCAGACAGAAACTGCTCTTTTTCAAGGACAGCTGTGCCAGAACTACAGCTTGCCCAAGGTCATCCAGCCAGGTGCAAGTGGAGGAGTGGGGAATCAAACCCAGTTCTCCCAGATTAGAGTCTGTGCACTTAACCACGACACCAAACTGATTGGATCTATACCCCGCCCTTCACTACCCGAAGGTGTCTCAGAGCGGCTTACAAATTCCTCTCCCTTCCCCTCCCCACAGCAGACACCCTGTGAGGTAGGTGGGGCTGAGAGAGCTCTGACAGAAACGGCTCTTTTTCAAGAACAGCTCTTGTCAGAACTACGGCTTGCCCAAGGTCATCCAGCCAGGTGCAAGTGGAGGAGTGGGGAATCAAGCCCGGTTCTCCCAGATTAGAGTCCGCGCACTTCACCACTACACCAAACTGGCTCTCACAGGAGTCTCACAGCGGCTTACAATCTCCTTTCCCTTCCCCACAACAAACACCCTGTGAGATAGGTGGGGCTGAGAGAGCTCTTTCGAGGACTGCTCTTTCCAGAACAGCTCTGAGAGAACTTGTGACTGACCCAATGTCACGCCAGCAGCTGCATGTGGAGGAGTGGGAAATCAAGCCCCGTCCTCCCAGATTTGAGTCTGCGCTCCTAACCACGACACCAGACTGTCTCAGGTTTGTGAGCGTGGACCCTCACAGCTTATCCCCTGAAAATCTTGTTGGTCTCTGAGGTGCTGCTGGACTAGAATCTAGTGGTCCTCCGGCTTTGTGCACCAGACACCGCTGACTCCCAACCATTTCCCTCTTCCTCTTTTTATCGCGACAACAACCTGGTGAGGTAGGGTAGGCTGAGAGACAGAAGGTGTGTGGTGGGGGTGGAAACTGGGTCGTGGCCACCCAGTGAGCTTAATGGCTGTGTACACATTTGCACCCAGGTCTACCAGACCCCAGTCCAGCCACTACAACTCCCTGGGTCTGCGTGAACCCTGCCTGTTCCTCATCCTCTTCCTCCCTCCTGCAGACCCAGTCAGCGTCGTGGCCAGAGGCCACGACAGCCACGCCTTGACCGTCTGCACCAACCACAGCAGCTCAGCCGACCTCCTGCGGCGGGTGGAGCAGCGAGCCCGGCTGATGTACGAGAGCAAGGCCTTCCTGCACTGGTATCTGCGGCACGGCTGCGAAGAAGGGGACTTCGAGCAGGGCTTCGAGACGCTCCGCTCCGTCGTGGAGGGATACGGCCATCTCGGGGATTGACCCGGACACCCCGGAATGTACACAGCCACACTCTGCGAGCGCACAGCCGGGAGGGGGCTCGGCCGGGAGCGGTGCTCTGCCCATGTATGCTGATCCAGCAGGGCAGCACAACGGCAAAACAGAGTCGGCTTGATGCAGCTGCTGCCCGGAGCCTAGTAAAGTGAGCAGGAGCGGGCCAAACTCTTGCGTCCTCCTTGTCCGTTTTCCTAGGGAACAAAAAAATGTGCACTGCTCAATGGGGGTTCCTTCCAAAACATTTCCCATGGAAGGGAACTTGTTTCCTCCTCCTCACTCAATCCACCCCTCTGCAGGACACTGGTCTGCTCGACGTCCTCAGAGGTAAAAGGGTAGCAGGTGGATGGGACCGATGGCTCCCTCTAAGCTGTGGAGTCCTGTGACCAAAAATCCTACTTTGGGAGCTACTGGCATGAAAGCTGTGAGCAAGTGTCACGGCTCAGGTGGGGTGTCACCTGACGCTGCCACCACTCTGGATTTAGGATCCCTTGAGAAGGCCGAGAGCCCCCTCCCAAGACCTTCAGACCTCCCTTTTGGCCGAATAACAGGCGTGAGGCCCACACAGAGTGAAACAAGGAAAAGGTTTATTTTATAGGAGGTCAAACAACAAGGTACAGAATAATAACAGTAAGTGGGTGAAAAGAAAAGAAATCAAATGCCCTAATGCGTCTAAATATACACTGTCCCTAGCTCACTATTCCAAGTGGCACTAGATGACTCACCCTTCCCTCAGGATGAGGGTCTCTTCCTGCAGCAGCCTTCCTTCTGGCTCTGCCCTCTGGGAAGAAGAACAGCTCTTCCTGCTTACCCAGATCTTTTATTCCAAGCCCTCCTCTTTTCCTATTGGTCAATTTTGGCTCCAAAACCTCTCAGGGACTTCTGGGAGTTGTAGGCCCAGCCTCACCTACTGCTAGCCAGGCTTCCTGGGCTTAGTAGGCCTCTGGTGACACAGCCCAGATCATGACAGCAAGCGATTTGGCTGCCGCATAAATCAGTTTACTCTGAAGCCCTCCTTCCTGAGCTGAGACAAAAAACATGCGAACTGGAGGCTAAAAAACTGTGCGCTAGCTCTCACTGACTCAGCTTAGAGGGAACAATGGCTGGAATCCCAGTTATGTGGGGTTGTCACGGCCAGAGATGAACAGAGGTGGTTTGCCCTGGTCCAATGCTCCCCTCTAAGCTGCGGAGTCTTGTGAGCAAAAATTCCGCTTTGTGAGCTACTGGCCTTAAAGTTGTGAGCCAGCGATTTGGCTACTGCATAAATCAGTTTGCTCTGGAGCCCTCCTTCCTGAGCAAAGGCAAAAATGTGTGAGCCGGAGGCTAAGAAACTCTGAGCTAGCTCACACTGACTCAGCTTATAAGGGAATCACTGGATGGGACTGAGCAACTGGAACCCCCCCCCCCCCCCCGGGAGGGCAGGTGGGGAAAGGGCGAGGGCTGGTCTTGTTGCTGGCCAGACCGTGGGAGCGCCTTCCACAAAGGTCCTGCAGATCCAACGCCAGCGGAGCACCTTCAAAAGGCACGTTCGGTCTCCCTGCAGACCCTTCAGTGGCCTCAGAAGAGGGGCTGAGGGTTACCTTAAGAACAACAGCTGGGCCACAGAGTAGATTTACAAGAGAGGCCACTTGTCTCTACTGCTGCCACCGCAATGACAGACATCTCTCCGCCACACCAGTCCGGGAGGGCCGGGGGCATGCCTCGAGGCCAGGTGCTGGCGCTTCCAAGCAAGAAGGGATAATAATAATAATAATAATAATCTTTCAATTTATTGATCGCTCAATCCTGCAGAGCTTGCTGGCTCTAAGCGATTTACAGTTACTCGTGTTTCACGAGGGACTAACAGTGCTTTGTGGGGTAAGGGAGGACAACATATACATGATCTTAATTGCACACATTCACAGCCGACGAGGGTTCCGTTCAGATGCAGATGAGACGTGATCCGGAACGGCATTTTTCCTCGGCCGAGTCTGATGGCGTCGGTTTTTCTCCAGACTCCTTGCGTTGTAGCGCCACACTGCCATCGCCTGGCCGGACGGCCCATTACAGGCTTTTCTTTACGCCAGAGATCTCTCTAGGCTTTCCATCATGCGAGCTGAACTTCCGTTCGCCGGCTAACACCGCTCCACCCCACGGTGGGGGGGGTTTTCAGTGTGCCCACTCTCTCTAAGGAGTGGTACCCATTTTATCTACTCGCCGAAGCTTTCAAACCGCTGGGTAGATGGCGAGCTGGGGACAAGGCTGGTAGCTCCCACCAGCGCAGGGCTAGAACTGACAGCAAGCCTGTTCAGCTCAGATGTTACTATGTTAACCAGAGGATAAATCCTCTGTGCCACTGCTCCCTTCTGCCCTGGAAGCAACCAGAAATGTTGTCTGGTCATCCGCCTGCTCCCCCAACCCCACTCATTTAGGAGGAGGAGATTGGATTTATACCCAAAGGAGTCTCGGAGCGGCTTACAATCTCCTTCCCCTCCCCCACAACAGACACCCTGTGAGGAAGGCGGGGCCGAGAGAGCTCTCTCGAGAACTGCTCATGAGAGAACAGCTCTGAAAGAACTTGTGACTGACCCAAGGTCACACCAGCAGCTGCATGTGAAGGAGGAGTGGGGAATCAAACCCGGTTCTCTCAGATTAGAGCCTGCACCCCTAGCCACTACACTAGACTGGTGTATTCAAGGTGGCTGCCGGTAGGGATCCTCCCACAACTAAATGCAAAGGCTTCCTCCGGCTTTTGTCATCTTTCCTTGCGACCTGGGAAACTGGCAGCAGCGGCAGATGCTCCGGTTACTCAGAGGCTCTCAGCAGGACTGGAAGGGACTTCCTCTGCCAAGGTCTCGGGAGCACGGCGAGAGAGAGTCATTCCACAGCAGATTCATCATCTCCAAGTCACCAGCTTTCATTAGAGTTGCCGACGTTTAATACGCTGCAAAACCCATCTCCCTTTCAGTGGAGAACCCTGGTTTTGCTTCGTTGCCTGTAGGACACGTCCTTTTTTAGGAATCGCTTCGTGAAGTTAAACAAATTTAGAGTCTAGAGGCACCTTTAGGACCGGCAAAGGTTACTCAAGGTATGAGCTTGCGTGTGCAAAGCATACTTTGCTCTGGTTAGACCTCACCTAGAGTATTGTGTTCAGTTTTGGGCACCACAATTTAAGAAGGATGCAGACAAGCTGGAACGTGTCCAGAGGAGGGCAACGAAGATGGTGAGGGGTCTGGAGACCAAGTCCTATGAGGAAAGGCTGAAGGAGCTGGGTATGTTGAGCCCGGAGAGGAGATGACTGAGAGGTGAGACTGATCAAGAGAGAGATCTTGGAGTTGTAGTGGATAACTCACTGAAAATGTCGAGACAGTGTGTGACTGCAATAAAGAAGGCCAATGCTATGCTGGGGATTATTAGGAAGGGTATTGAAAACAGATCAGCCAATATAATAATGCCCCTATATAAATCAATGGTGAGACCTCATTTGGAATACTGTGTGCAGTTCTGGGCACCACACCTTAAAAAAGATATTATAGCTTTGGAAAAAGTGCAGAAAAGGGCAACTCAAATGATAAAAGGGTTGGAACACTTTCCCTATGAGGAAAGGTTAAAGCGCTTAGGGCTCTTTAGCTTGGAGAAAAGACGACTGAGGGGTGACATGATCGAGGTTTATAAGATTATGCATGGGAAAGAGCAGGTAGAGAAAGAGGTACTTTTCTCCCTTTCTCACAATACAAGAACTCGTGGGCACTCCATGAAACTGCAGAGCGGTCGGGTTAGAACGGATAAAAGGAAGTACTTCTTCACCCAAAGAGTGATTAACACATGGAATTCACTGCCACAGGAAGTGGTGGCGGCTACAAGCATGGACGGCTTCAAAAGGGAATTAGATAAGCATATGGAGCAGAGGTCCATCAGTGGCTATTAGCCACAAGGTATAGCTAGGGGCTCTGGGGCAAGTGATGCTCTGTCTTCTTGGTGCTTGGGGGGGGGGTCAACAGTGGGAGGGCTTCTAATGTCCTGGCCCCACTGCTGGACCTCCTGATGGCACTGGTATTTCTGGCCACTGTGTGACACAGAGTGTTGGACTGGATGGGCCTTTGGCCTGATCCAACATTGGCGTCTCTTATGTTCTTATGTTCTTAAATGTAGGAGCAGGACCAGGGTACTTTAATCCATCAGGGA